CGAGGCTGGTCATAGCGACTTGAACTGATACTTTTTCCTCTGGTGCCCTTCCCTACCACTCTCCAGAATCCACAACACCATTCCCCCGAGCACAGTGATCTCGCGAAGCCGATTATGGAATGCCGCCGAAATCACACGAGCGTAAGTCAAGCCCTGTCCAGCGAATGCTCTCGCGAACCCACTAACACTACTGATCAGGTCAAACCAGGAGACATAAATCCCCCGTATTTTGTGAGCCTCACCACCTGTCAGCATTGAGTCCAGTACCGCAAGGAATTAGGTTAGGGCCTTCCACTTGTAGTCTGTAGATCACGACACCCTCGCTCCCAGTGCGGGTCCGGTGGCCCCCGCGACTGCAGCCCCAAAGGCTAATCGCCATGTAGATGGTCTGACGACAATGGTGATCAGCATTTGTGCACCGTCAGCGCTATCATCTCCTGCCCACTCAACCCGTCCATTCACAGTAGGAGATCTTCAGCGCAGAAGACTCTACTATTCCTTCCAGAAGGGCGAAGAAATTTCTTCAATACTCGTCTAATAAAGTTGTCTACAGTTTCTTGTTTGATTCTGAACCATGTCGCAGATTTCATCATATCCTTCGCGCGGGACATGACTCTCTCGGCAACTTCTGCGCCGAAATTACTTTCGATCAAGTGCTTCTTTGGCTAACCCAGATCATGGACGCAAATATTGTGAGTCGGATGTGTGTGATTCCATCAGGGAGCCATCAAACTAACATCGAATACGCAGTGTGTGGATGAAATGAATATGACGCACAGGGACCTGAAACCTGACAATATTCTAATCATCCTGGATGGCGCGATGGTTACTGGCTTTGGTATTTAAGAGTACGGTCCGACGCACCAGGTTATTTCGACGATCGTTGGGCCTGCGGAAACTTTGGGCTCACCCAATTTTTGCAGACTAAGCCGGGTACATGGGAGTTCATGGCTCCAGAGGTCGTAAACCAGGTGAAGGGTGGAAATCTCAATTACAAGGTCGAGTCTCATTGAGTAGTATTGATCTTCTGGAATACGTTAGTGGTCGTCATACAGACCCGGTTGCCCTGAACCGATCGATCTGACTTGGCCTCGCTTCCTAGGTTATTTGGAAGATCCTGTGTCGTGGTCATTCCGTCTGGGCAGAAATTCATCGATTGGGCTGGGCTCGGGTCAAGGCGCAGAATAAAATCTCTGACAGTGGTAAGTCTCTTCCTTTCGAGCAGTTAACAAGCTTTACGTGATTTCTGAATGCAATTTTGAACCCCTGAAGTAATACCTCTCGATCTGCTACCAGGGCTCCTTGAATTCGGTCCAGAGACTAGGTAGACGCTGCAGGAGGCTGGATTGCATCCTGGTTCAGGGCATCGCGGGCACGACCTCGCGTGCACTTGTATCACTAGATGCTACAGGGGCGCTCTGGGTGGGCAACGGAAGTTGTATCAAAAGTTACCTACCCAGGAACGATCGCCCTATAAGCATTTCTTTGTGAGTTTTGTGTATATTCATCCTTCTAATACTCTCCTTACAAGGCCCAGCATATGGACTCTCATCGCTCGACGACTGTAGCAACAGCTGCGCCAGCCTTTCCTTCGACGCTACTAGCCGTCGCCGACTCCTGGCCCTCCACTAGACACTGTTCTCCTACTCTTTCAGAGGCCATAGTTGAGAATATACTATATGAAGAACAAGACGGTAAGCCGTCCTTCCACCGCCGCTTGATTTATTTCATTTATCGAACCCCAAATGCCATCCTATAATCGAAGCAGAGCGTATTTTGATCAGCTCGAGTTCTCTTTCGACCAAACAGAAACGAGTCGACTCAGCTACCGCCCTTCTTGGTCTTGGTGATGGTGATGAGATGAAGGCTGGTGAAGGCTCTACACCACCAATACCAAAGAGACATAGGATAAATGTCCCAATGATGGAGAAAAGGCTGAAAGAGAGAAGACTGGTCAAGTTCTGTTCCAGGTTACGACGCCGAAGGGAATCAGCAACTACAGATACAATGCGACTTGGACAATAGCGACTTTTGGGCTTGAATTGATCTGGCGGTCGTTGTGTAATGTAACTTCGCTGATGAAGAATGTTGAATATAGCTGAGGATGATCTAGACTTTAGAATCTACCATCTTGCATGATGTAATGAGTTTCACATGGAGTGTCAAGGACAAGCAACGTGTGCGTGCAATTTTTTCCAATCTTTCCTCAAGTAATAAAAGCTTCGGTTAGACAAACACTTCAACTCTCTCTGTCGACACCAATTATTGCCTTCCAACCACCCTGAATGTTCCCCACCGGGGTGAGACCCGTTAAATCTTGATCACCTCAGGATCTTCTGATTACATGATCGAAGACCTTTGTGATCGTTCCCGCGGACTTCTTGGGAGTTCTGGTGAAGCCATTCTCTCGGTCAACGTGACCCGTCCAAAGAATAGCTCTGGCAAACTGGGTTCGACTAGGAATTTTCCTGTACAGTACATGGTTCCGTAATGATTAAGACCAAAGCTATTGAAAGGCAGAGATAAGGAGAGGGTTGCAGAGAATCCACGATCGAAACTCACAAATCAGATAAGCTATGAATGAGCTTCCAGTCTGCGGGAGTGAAACCCTCCAGCGCATGCTCAGCGATTCTCTGAATGGTAGCGTTGTGCTTCCCCAGAACTATATGATGAAGGAAAGTCTAGTGCTGCTCAACAAATGGGGGAAATGAACGGTTGGCAGCGCCTCGAGACATAGATCAGATCGGCAAACCACCCCAAAATCATGTCATTCACTTGTGAACCCGCAGCGTTCGCTTCTGCTGATCCATCTATTGGCTCCGCCCAGTGGCAGTTCCCATTCCGTACGTGAGGGAGTATGCGACTATTACTCGTTGCTGTAGCTCATAAGTGAGATTCCGATTACTCCATTTTGAGTTAAATAAAATTCCTGCCTATAGACTGCTACAGCTCGCGCGTGCCCTATGATGAGGTTGTTTCCCTGCCTAAAAATCATCTAGACGTTAACGATTCATATTGAGACCAGTCGTTGTGCGTTGTGCACACTCAATCTCTAAACGTCTTGAAAAGAAGTTGAGCATAGTTCTCGAAGTCTTGAAAGAGAGACTCGACCTTATCTCCATTCGCGAGCTATCCATTGTGTCGATTCTCTAATTCGAGTGGCACTTCCAAGTGAGTGAGCGTGACGAAAGGAATGATGCTAGCGGCGAGCAGGCCGTCAATCTATCTAGGGAATGCGATACAAAGTCAATGAACCTGAAAACAACCATTTGGGCCAAACCTACCAAATTGGAGTAATATTCAAGTTCTTCCCGATTGATTGGGTCATTTCTACCTCCTAGAGCCATGGGTTTGAGTGTTAGTTGCGAAAACCTTAATCACACGGAGACGTCCTGACCAAGCGGGATAATCCTATACCAGGAAATAGAAAACTTGTAGCCCGTAGCCCCTTATTTCGTGAGCAATTCCATGTCGTCCCTCCAGATGTTGTACGAATTGATCGCCTACTCCCGTCGATCGTATGTTTCGGCAATTCCTCCCAACTTGAAGGCCCTTTACCATCTTGCTGGAATCCTCCCTCAATCTGGTATGACGCGATCGAGTAGCCATGAAGGAAGTTCTTCAGGAGCGTCCCAGCAAACATTGGGTCTTGGATGATGGTTGCCATGAGGTAAGAACAAAGAGTGGTAGTTGCCGCAAGTTAATTCTGGCTCATAATTATCCGTTCGATTTCATTCCTTGTCCGTAGCGTGCAGTGGCGTTTGGCGTTGAGCTACAGCTTACAGATTTGCACCAGTCGCCCTTCAGAGAAACCCCCTTCGAATCTTCCGATTGATTATTTAGTTACTAAAACCACCCATTCTGATGCAGTGACTAATTGAAAATGACAAAGTTGCTCACATGGGCCTTGTCCCTGTGGTCCGTGTAGCTGTTTTCGGTCCGAGAGGGTTGAGACTCGTTGTCAGCGCTAGGTTGGATTCATAATCGGCATTGTGCATCTTGAAAGAGCCATATCGCATCTGCTAGCGACGGAGTATCTGTAGTCAAACGTGGGAGAAGGCGGTGATAACATTAGTTTTGCGGACGCGATCTTTAGGGTGTATAGAGCTGTTTACGCGAGGCAACGCCGGCGCCCTGAATGGAGATATCTGGATTTGTGGTGAGTGATGACGGGGGATGCTGGATAGGTGAGAATACAGTCGGATCTTGATTCCTGCGGTTGGTGGGGGAGGTCGGATCGTGATAGGGCGGCGTCGATACTATTCGTGCTTTTATGCCTGATTCTGTAACTGGGTACACCTCGAAGAGGCCAGAGGCTTCCCCATAGACCTTGCCGTTGGGTGCAAGGCATGACCTGAGTGGCAACGAACCCATCCAAAGTTGATCTGGTCATACCACACCGGTTCGGAAGTGACGAACCAGACGGACGTCCATTCGCTGGCCATATATTGAATGACTAGAAACGGAGCAGACCAGAACTCGTTAAAGGAGAGTTGTTGACACAATTAGCATTGCTTTGCTGGTTATAGGGATCGTTGGTGGGATTCATTTCTTGTCAATCGTGCGAACCGATGTGGTTGTAGGGGCATATTGGGGGTCAAGTCCTCTCAATGCTTTTGTTTCAGTACTTATGGATGCGTCTGGCGCTCCACGTGGGTGACACCTTTTGAAATGACTGGGTGGGTAACGACTATCTTAAGCCTACTTCGTATGTCAGGCCAACAGTACCTCGATCGTCGACATAAAGGACACTCATTCTCACGAACCTCACTAGAGCTTTGAGACTTCAACCATCAGCCATTCCTTTATCGGCGCCTCTGCACACTTGTATCTGGCACATATGCTATTAATACTCGGCCATGCTGCGAATGAGGGATGCTGGAAGCATGTAGGATGTGTGGACCTGTACTACGGGCATGCCAGACGGAGGATGAAAGGATCACCACTTTCTATACATAACGTCATAGCATTGAAAACTAGTGGAGCCACGGCAAAACACTTGATGAGAGTGGGATTCGAACCCACGCCCCGGAGGACCAGAACCTTAATCTGGCGCCTTAGACCGCTCGGCCATCTCACCTAATCGCAATGAATATTCCATAAAGCATTAATATATATTGAACTTGCAACACGGCTGTGGCTAGTGTAGGAGAGAAGGTCGTACGGCTAATGCATCCTCTTTGTGCCAAATCATTGATGGTAGGTAAATTGATATATAGATTGCTTATGGGATATAGCATGCTTTCACCAAACAGACTGGTCCCAGGCGTGGTAAATGTTGGCTCCCCCGGGCATTGCACGACCTAGCATGAATGGTACACTCGCCATCCACACAGAAGAGGTCGTTGAGCGTATTGTGCACGTACTATCCCTCTCGACACCTTTCCAACTCCTACATTACGACTCGGACCTTGGCCCACGCAGATTGCATGCTTGAACAGATGTGTTTCAATGTAGCCCCGTGCACTGAACCATACTCTGTACGCCTTAAATAGCTTTGGACCTCGTGATTCACTGCTATCTCACTTTGCTTGCTTTAGAAGGTGCGTTGGAGGTTCGTTGGCCCAACTCACCCACCCCGCATGAGCTGTCGGGCCGTCGGCCTTTGAAGTGACACTAGCTCCTCCTCGTATTCTCCCTTCTTACGGTCTCACCACGTGCTATTTCCGCGTAATAGTTCACAAAGGCCCTCCACATTCGCTGCACCCCTTCTTTTCCACTATTTAGGCTTCTGCCCGTTCCCTCAAAATATCAACCCTATTTTCCCCATTCAAAGGATGAAAGACTATTGAAAAGGAGACCTTCGAGCTTCCCCGAACCACCCTTTGTGCTGGAATGTGTCAGCTTAGCACGACGAATGCTGGAGGGCGGTTCGAACCGCAGACCAGCATCGTTTCGATAGAAGCGAGATTGACTATATGCGCACACCCGAGGCCTTACCTGGATGGTTTCTGCCCTCTTAAGTATATGCCATGTCACCCCCAAGTCTCAAGGAAGGCATGTATTCGATTTCAAACACAACGGTCCCGTAGAAATGTCTTCGATTTATGGGAAAGCGCATCGTAGAAGCTGGTCAATAGCAGATGTGACAGGTTTACCTGATGATATTCAAACCGGGCGCCCGCTCGAACACCTCTGGAAATAGATTAGCAGCTGTTATAGGACCTTACGATTTGAATCCAGCTTTTCGCCTTTAGACCATTTTGAATTCATCGAGTATGTTCTTTTCATTTCCACCCATCGCCATGACTTTGCGTAGTGATAGGAAGAGATACATGTAGATCTGCTTCGCTGGTCGCTATCGATCGGGTTCTGCCACGGCTCCACGAGCTTCTCAGAGTTACGGCCTGGGCGCCACCCCAGCTGAGTCCCCATGGGCGTGATTCTATCAGATGGCCGCCTCCCGCCCTCCGAGGATCTTGGATATAAAGTTATAGGACCCCCCGTCACCAGTTTGTTCGGTTGAGCATCACATATTTTGACGTCTGAATTGTGTTTACAGGCTTTGGATATCTTGACTACTTTTTACAGACGCGTTATTCCCACCCACTACGGTGAAGATTTCTGTAGGATCGTGGATGGAAGCTTCACATCTCACTGCCGAGTCGGAGTCGTTGTCGTAATGAAAAGTTCGGACCGTTTCCTCATTGGTCAATCTCAACGGCACTGATAGCCGCCAGGGCATCGGGTTCCCGCATGCCCGATCGAGTCGGACATTTCTATAACTTTCCCACCATGGGGTGCTTAAAATAGGTCTTCCACCGAACCTGACCGACTTGGCGCGGGTTTTGGAGGGGTTCTATCGCGTCGCAATTCACCTCGTGGGTTTTTGAGAGCCTCGACCGATATCACTCTCACAGATTGTTGATGCCATTGTATCGAGCCTCAGTAGCGAGGAAAGGAGGATGATCTGCTGCCGGCAGTCCTCAAGCCGGCATCACTTGTGGGACTGAGCTGATCTCAACCACTTAGGCTCCCTGAGAGGTTCTCATCAACGAATAAATTGTATATCGATATTGATTAGTGGAGCCCGTGGCGCTGTTGGTTCTTGTGCGTCCTCGAAGCTCAGGGATTTGTTGGTAAGGCACACAAAAGAGACAGGGTTGCGATGAAATAGGTTTAGACTGGCAAGCCCGGAGCCGGCCGCACCTCGCCGCGTTGGCCGGTGCCCTCTGCTTGCGCCTTCTAAGTGTTTGGGATCATTGTTCAAGTTGCGCCACAGTAACGCCCGTCCAAAAGCATACGAGATCAAGTTGCCAGTTGGAGCCTCGAATACCAACCGCGATAGTGGTTGTTTGGATCCTTGCCAGTTGGAGCCTCAGTGCCCCGTGATCGCATGATTGCAAATGAATGAAGCATTCTGAGAGACATGTTTTGCCACTACTACTGGGCTGGCCCATCAGATTAGACTATGGTCGCTTTGGCAACGACCGATGCCTACCAGTATAGTGGTAAGAAAATTGCGAGGTTCCTGCAAATCGCTGAGCTGTAAGGAGAAATTTCGGACACTGCAGTAATGGCAGAAGCTGGGGATCGTCACCGTCACATGCGTTTGTGAGGGTAAGGCGCTAGTCCGTAAGAGGAGATGAGGAGACGGCGTCCTTGTAAGTTCGACATCTGGATCTACTACCTTCACTTCCAGCGCTCCACCACCATATCCTTTGACACACTTTTGGTGAAGATGACGATCTATACGCAGCTGTTCTTTGCACTTGTATAGCAATGCCGTTGAGGGCGCTGTGGATCGGGGTACAACGAAAAGATGGCCAAGGGCCCAGGCACTTCGCAGAAGGCCCGTTGGCATTGGGATTCCAACCAGGGCTCCCGACCTTCGATGAGTGAAAACACAAATACCGTACGCTCTTACTTCAAACCGTTCGTCTCTTTCCTATCTCGCTCTTCATCGTCGCTCTTCATCCCCTCATCGTCGTCCTGGTCTTTTCAGTATCGTCGTCATCTGTTCACAGAGCGTAAAAGAGCCGAGGGCTTCGTCGTCATCACCTGGACCTGGCCTGTTCGCTTGTACATTGGCCTTGTCTATCTGTGAAGGCCCTTTCGGTTGGGTTTGGCTCGACCTAACGATCCTGCCATCGGCATACCACGAGCTGGTGAATATTATCGTGCACGCTCCTCCGTAACCGTGCAATTTCGCCATTTTGGGAGCGAAAATCTACAGTGAGTTGCTCTCCAATCCGCCCGTTCTGAAATGTACTTACTCCAGCACACCCTCTCCATTCTCCCTGCTCTCCTATCTTGTTAGCATTCGCGTGATCATCTTCTTTTAACATCGCAACCAAAGCCTTCGCCAAACATCCTTCGATCTCCTTCGTTCACTTGTTGTATTCCAGAAAGCCACTCTTTCGCTTGTTCAGTCCGACATCTCTTCGCTTCCTCCATTGAAACGGACCGTGAGGATACTCGAACCTGCCGATCAATCAGTGCCCAGATCCTCACGCCCGACTCTCTATCTCCTTGTAAAACTGCACCGCAACCAGCGACTGACTACCGGCGAGTCGTCACTCATCACGTTCATTGCACGACAAATCTACGACAATGGCACCATTTACATCCATACTCAAATCAAAGAAAGGAAAAAAGCAGCAGCGTCCGTCGACTCCTCCATCTCCAGGATCATTTGTCTCCCGCTCGCCGAAGTGGGCATTCGACGAGCTCCTCGAGCAAGATCCACGATCACCAGGACAGTTGCAGCAAGGACGTACACCATCCAGACAGCAATACGAACCGGAGTACTTCGAAGTCCTTGACATCGCCATTAGCCCCAGCCAAAGCAGCAACAACGACTATTCTCCAAACAATCAGAGGTCCGCATCGCCTGGGGTGGTCCTGCCGGCGCGGCCGAAGCCAGCCCCTCTTGCGATGCCTGCCCAAGCATGGGCACAAGCCCCATCCATTTCTAGCTCTGGATTTTCTACCGCTCCTCTATCCAACACACTCTCTGTCGTCCATACTCCTCAGCGCGACTCGGTGCAGTCCCAAGACATGCGGGGAAGTTCAAGTTCAGATCCGCAGCATCAACTCATGGCCTTCGCATTCCCTCTTCCACCGAGCGGGACACCTGCGATGTCGAACTCACCACCTACATTGAAGAGCTTCTCAGTCAGAGATCGGGAGCTTCCTATCCTACCGCCCCCAACAAGAGGCTTGAAGCTCAACAAGTACCCATCTATGGATGAACTGAAAGCTACGGGCTCCTCATCTGCCCCGCGTAGCCACACCCCGGACTGGGAAGCGAAGACAAAGGGTAGCGAAGTGAGTTCAAGGAAATCAGTTCTATCCCCATTCTTGTGTTGTCTTTGGGTGTTCTCAGGTTAACATCTTCTGCTTTTATGCACATCTTGTCACAGCGCTTAAAAGCTGATCACATGCGCCATGTACACAGGAGCCGATCCGCGACACTGCCTTCGCTGCCCCAAGATGACTTGGTGCGTAAGCGTCATCTCCGGACTATATTCATGCCTTACTCGACCACATGGCTGACTATTCTTCTCTGCCTTTCTGCAGCCCTCCTCCCCATCATCGCCAGCATCTTCTTCTACATCCCCTAATCCTCCCAGGAGAGAGACTCCAAGACCCATCCGAATCCCTACTCTGCGTACTACCGGGACCATGGCCACTCTTCTTGAGTCGGTCCCGGAGACAGACTTGAGCTCGAAGCCTCAACCTGCTCTGCCACCGCCGACTCCGACCTCTATCAGGTTCGCAGATGTCTTGATCAAAGAGGGCGAGGGCGAGTCATCTGACACGGATCTACCGTCACCGGGCATCACACAAGCCGCACGATCCAGACCTCCACGACTTCCCCACCCGCCATCTATACATCGCCCCCGTACAGCTCCAGAATCAATGTCGACCCCCTCGAGGGATGTAGCGATTTCCTCGCTGATCTCCTCCGCATTGGCCCGTCAATCTGTTTCGTCGACCACGGTAACGAGCGTATCGGATTCTCCAGTCACTACGTATAGTCGATTCTCCACGAGCTTTGCACCAGCCACACCCACACAGCCGGTTCAAAACCCACCCCAAGGACCATCAACTCCGGATCCCGCGTCGCTCCTCTCA